GGGGGGGGGGGGGGGGGGATACATCAGACATACGCCTGTGATAAGTGTGCTTGATGATGTCTAGGGCCGGCTGTGCATACAATGTAGTAGCCGGGTACCCAAGTACCCGACCACTGATGTCAGAAACAGGTTTCAGATTATGGGATCGGGTACCCATAACCAACATTGCAAATTACTGAGTAGCTTTTCAGACAATGAAAGAGAAAGGTTTTGTGTGTCATTTGTGGGGAATTTTCCAAATGAAAACCAGGCTACCGGTACATGGAAAAATAAAACAGGTTTCACACTCGCGGAAGTTGCAGTTTTCACCAGAAAGATGTAGGACAAAGTACGCTGCATTGATGCAACGATGTGGTAGTATTATCGTGTGGACCTTTTGGTTTTTATGAACAACCTGAACAGCAGCTTCCGAGATTTGAATTTTGGGGTTGGGTTTCTTTAACGGGTACCCAAATACCGGTACCTGTGTTTTTTTTCCAAGCAGGTACATGTACATTGTACCCGGCTCCCATACAACCCGTAAATTTATGCGCACCCCTAATGATGTCTTACCAAAGTTAAAGGTATGGTCCATCATTTGTAATTTGTGCATTTTGTTCATTTTTTGAAGTCTCAACAAAAGTGCTCAAGAACTAAAGAAGGGTGCTGAACAACTAACCTGATGAAGTTTCAGCTCAGCTGTAGCTGTATATTTCGAGAAAAACAACAGGATCTCAATTTCAAATCAAAAGTTGCTGAGACACGTTCTCAGCAGCTACGCAATGTCGCGCACTGATCCGACGAATTATAGCAACCGCGTGTGCGTCGTGCCAATGCTTGCGCACGCTTTGGCGAATAACAAAACAAACTACTAATTTGAATTTCCTATGGTGCTTCTTAAAGAGCACCGTTGGAAAGGCCTTCTTTTGTTGATTTCAGCTTGCCAGAAAGAATAATTTCACAGAGAATTTAGTCCCCCTACTATCTTTCAACCAAGTATGTTTTTCAGCAGTAATTATGCCAGTTACTTTTTGTATAGCTGCAAATGATGGACTCTGGCTTTAATACCGGTACTTATAAATTTTGAAACACTTTGCTGATGTGGAAGCAAAGAGTTTATTATACGCAACAAGATGCTTAGCCTACAGTGTGGAATGTTAACTTGCGCGCAATATCTTGCAGCCTTGTACACATGTACACAGTACGGTACATACATGTACATTGTACACTGTACAGTACATGTACATGTACATGTACATCCTATGGACAGTTTGTTCATTGGTGGGCCTCAACACACAGAGTCCATGGTTCACACACAATACCAATATTGAGCCCCTCCATTGTTATGATAAACCAAACCAAACCCACCATGTACACAATTTGCATTTAACTAAACCATCTTTAGAAACCTGCCAGCCCATGCAGGACAGCAGTGTTGCCAGCATGGGGCAGGATGTCCCTTTGTTGGTGTGTTGTTGCAAGGATTTAGGCCATCCAGTAGAGGGAATACTGGTGGGACTCCCAACCACTAAGTATTGATTTTTGTTCTTTAAGTAGGGGTTTCTACCATTGACATTGCCAGTGTACGGTTGACCCTTATTCATAGGGACATGTTGGAACTGTTCTTAAAATAGAATGAGAAAGTCTCCATAATACCATATCCCGTACAATGTACATGTACTTGTGTCAATAAAACATGTACCGCTTAAACGGTACATTTATTTTGTTAAGGAAAAAACACTTACAGTATGTGTACATGTAGTTTCAGTTTTCAGTACAGTATGCAAGTTTATAAACAAGTAGGCCTATAATTTACTTTTCTAAGCACTGTCGATATATTGATATTAAAACTCGATTATTCTATATTATTTTGATATCGATATCGCCGATAGCAATTTTTTAATCATCAAAATTTTCGATATTGAGGAATGATATTGAAAATATCAAAAAATGCGTCAGATTATCTTCAAAATACATGTAAATCTCTTGTTTATGCTTTTACTTTGTGTTTTTAAATCATTTTCTGTAAAATGAAATAAAACTTGGGGGCAACTTGTGCTTGTGACTGAAAAATAAAAACATCGCAAAATGCCAAGCGGCGTCACTTTGTGCTCTGCATTTGCAGGATTTTGCAGTCTCCCCCAGTGTACCTCAAAAGAAACCGCCCGTTCTGGACAAACACTCAGTGCTGAGATTTGTTTTTAAAAGTTTGAGCAATATGCTCCAGAGCAAGCCGTGGAAAATTGGGACTTAAGTTTTTTTTTCTGTAATCAAAGTGTCATCTTTATGGTCTATAACATTTTACATCTAGGACAATTGATATCGAATATTCTCGATATTGGTATCCAATATATCGATTATTGAATATTTTGATATTGACTGTGCTTATAAATACTTTTCCCTTTGAAACATGAGGTGTAACATGTAAGACTTGTACAAAAGCAAACTTGTACAATGAATACCGGTACTTGTACATGAAAATGTGCATGTGATCAAATTTGCTGGGAAAAAAAAGGTTTAAGTTGGATGTGTTGGGATGTTTTTCAAATTGTTGGAAACTTTCTGTAGGCCTGAATAGTTTAAAGTTCCAATACAACGGACCTTTCAACATGTTCAAGAGAAATTTGAGTCCTAAAATAGGGTAATTAATAAATAACAAACAAATTAAAATGTATTGGCGATCTTCAATATAACAATAATCATATTGTTCAATCGCGCATTACACAGAAATTAAAACAAATCAAATCCTATGTTTAAAAAGGGTTTTAAAAAGTAAGTACGTCTAAAATTACTATCAAGACAATAAAATTTAAAATACACTAATAAATAAGCAATGAAATTAGTAAAAAGCCAGTTTAAAAAGAGGCTACTGGTAAGTCTATACTTTACGCTTAAAAAGTCAATGAACTGAGAATGTTGAATGTCAGCAGGCATTAACTTATTCCATAATTTTGGGTTGCCGTTGAAAAGGATGTACTCCCCAGCGTACCTACAGTATAGATTGTAGTCACGGTTGTGCATGTCTTTGCCCAAGTGCTCCCAGAAATGTGGGGGGGGGGGGGGGGGGGGGTTGAAGTCTTACCTGCATGTTGACCATCTCAAAGTTTGCTATAAATCTTGACTCACTAGCCTGAAGGTGAGTTAACTTACGCATGTATGTAAGCTGGCAAATGCTGCACATAAATTTGTGCTCTTCAATGCAAAGTCAGTCACAAGGTTACCCTCCCCCCCCCCAAAAAAAATCTTCATTGTGAATAAAACCTTGAAATTTCATTTAAATACCGGTGTTAATTTACTTTTTCCCAATAAAGTTTAAATTTTAAAGTATATGTCAAACATGTAGCTTGACTTGTTGGAAACACTATAACTTTATTGAACTGTAATGTAGTAAGAAATATTTAGATACCTTTTTGGAATCAAAAATATTGCAGCGATGTATCTTTTGATGTCATCGCGACATCTTCATTCAGCGTACATGCTGCTTTAGTAATGAAGTAGTCAAACAGTATTTACATGTACCTACCCTTCAGGCATAACAAATATTTTGTATAATATTTTTTGCATGTTCAAGTTTTTATGAAGTGCGCCCTGGTGTACAGGGCGAGTCAAAACAAAAGTGACCGGGATTAATGATTGTTTTTTCTTAAAAAGCAAAATTTATACACCAGTGAAGCACACGTGTGCAGGTATTAAACAAGTATACATGTTCTTCCAATCATCTGCAGAAAAAAAGAAGAATGTATAACTGAAATTGATCCTTGCTATCAGAAGTAATGGATGTTTTACTGAGCGAACCCATTTCTACAGCTGTTCATGGAATGTACCGATATTGCTTTGAACTTGAAGCTGTTCAGTTGAGTGGGAACCAGAGATTATGTACAATGTACACGCATATATTTTACACGTAGGCATTCAAATACAAATGAGTCTAATTAGAGTCAAGACTGAAATACTATTTTTACTGTCAGATTTTGTGTTTTGTACGAAGAATAAATCAAGTCTTTTCTGAAATGAGAATTGTGATTTTTGTCTGTTTTCCTTTGTAAGTTTCGTTGATTGCATTTAAAGGGTATTCATCATAGGCATCAGTAAATGATCAGTGGTGGACAGCTAAATTTTGTGGTATTTCTACTAAAATAAGGACTTTTTTGTAACTTGTGAATAGAGTATGCTATTACGTGAAAATGTCATACTAGTCAATAACATGTACCGTACTTTTTTCCTACAGTATGTTATTTTTTATTATTTAATGTAGCAAGCCACATACCGGTATTTAGTATATTTTTTCTAACTCGGTCACTTTCTGTTTTAGACTCGCCCTGTAAATGAATAAACAACTGTCATGCTACATCTATTAGTACAAAATTCAGATCCATATTTTTATGTAAACTAGAGCTTTCGTTCTTGTTTCCCACACTCCGAATATTTTCAAAGGTGTAACCAGTAGCGTTGCATTTTGACGACAGCAAAAACTTTCTTATTTTGGACGATGTTGTTGTCACCATAAAACTTTCTGATTTTGGACGGTGTTGTCGTCACCATAAAACTTTCTGATTTTGGACGATGTTGTCGTCACCATAAAACTTTCTTATTTTGGACGATGTTGTCGTCACCATAAAACTTTCTGATTTTGGACGATGTTGTTGTCACCATTGCTCATTCCAAAGAAAACCAAAGTGAAACAGTACAGAGATAGTTATAATTCTTCTTCAGAGAATGGCTTAGTTGCTTGAATGGAAAGTGAACAGTTATATCTTTTGTTTGCTTCACGTGTCGTCTCACTTTCAGTGACGAATGACATGAGAAATGATTCACTTTTGTTGGGTAATCCCTATTTGTAGTACTGTGTGTACAAGATTTCTGAATGGACGTGACTGACGTTTGATTAAACACCAATCACCGCAACTGGGAATACACAGTACATACTATATAAACAAATACTCATATTTCTATCTTTGGCATATTATTTAGATTATTCTCTGTATTTATTCAGGGTTTTTCTGTTTTATTTCCTGTGACAGATGAATTCAACTAGTAAAAGGACATGCCGCAATAGTCACTGCCGGATTTGGCCACAAAATCAAAAATTACCAAATCACAGTGCGTCTGTACGTCTAATTGCGAAAGCTTAATCAAGAGTCGAGGCTGGATCCCTCATTGGTAAGTACATTTGGAAATCATACATGCCTAGGGCACTCTTACAATGAGTCTAGGACTTTGCCAATTCTGCGGGCTGGCCGTGAGTGAAATTTGTAACAGATACGGACCCAAGGGAGCAATGAAACTGGCAATGGATCCCAATTGGAAATACCGTACAGTGTTGCGTTAAAGGGACGTGAGATGAATTTTACACTGGAATGTATTTTGAGTTAGTTCCATTTCTCTGATACACATGTACCAGTAGCATAACGAGCTTTTAATATTAATGAGTAATGAAAGGTTTGTGGAAACACCATGTGCGAATTGTTTCTCAACTAAGAGAATGGTTCTGAAAAGAACCAGAGGTACATTGTATAAACTCCGGCCTTGAGTGAAATCACTCTGGTTCTTTTCAGAACCATTCTCTTAGTTGAGAAATTATTCGCACATGGTGTTTCTGCAAACCTTTCATTATTTAGTATCTCCACCATGCAAAGCCTCAAATCTTGCTTAATATTAATGAACTTTTTACAAATTTTCCACTTTTGTCTTGTAAGTGGACAACTAAGAATCAAATTGATTGGAATTAACAATGAAATGTAGGAAAACTATGAGAGATCCCATTTTGGTAAGGTTTCATTTTAAAGTTCACTTTTGAAGCATTTGAAAGGTTTTTCCTGTCAACTGAGGGTGCTGTTACTGTATAAATGACATGTGCACACTTTTCAGTTTTGCTCTTTGAAAACATTTGTGCATTGAACTTTGTTCTAATTGACAGGTATACGCTATGTACCGGTAAGTAGGCCTACTGTCACATTGTCGTGTTTGTACTGAATCAACCGTGGTTCATCAAAAACAGAAAGTTTGCAAACAACTCAAAATTGTGGCAGCTAAATTGATACTATAGCTTCAATGTTACAATAAACTTTCTGCCTTAAATGACACCACAGTTTTGCTCATTTATGGAAATGTGCATTCTCATAAAAAAATGAGGCACCAAAAATGCTCTTAAAAAAGGAAATAATTATGAAGATTGAAAATAAAGTAAAAATGGGTCTATTTCATGGCCCTTTAAAGGGAAAATACAACATTTGCAAACATTAAAAAATAAAACTACCAAATCATTTTGAAATACCTTGCTGGACTGTTAGTGAATGACAGTGTAAAGCATCCTGTAAAATCATGGCACCTGGTATACTGTCATTTTCAAGAAAAGTGGTATTTTTGTATCAATTTCCAACGCTGATCGGCCGATCAGCGTTGGAAAAAACTGGCTTTTTTTTCAAATACTGGCCCCAATTGACCATCGCACTTGTTTGCAATCGATTACACACCTATGAACGGGTACAAGCCAGCTAGACTGGTTCCCTGACCTTACAATTTCCCAATGTATGTAAACTGCTCTGTTTCTTATTATATGGAGTCAGGGAGCCAGACTACAGGAAAATGATTGTTTTTCTTGGTTTTTATAGCATTTTCAAACCCAAAACCTCAAAAAAGTCAGTGTAACTATATTTGCTATATATTTCCAACCCCCCAAATCCATCCATTTCTGAAAATTACAGCAAAAGCAAATGATGTATATTCCCTTTAAGTAGAATAAGCGTACATGACTTTAACAGGTGCTCACAGTACGGAGTTTTGCTATTTGCGGTATCAGGTGTATTCCATCACTGGCGACAGCAGAGCTGCTTGATAAATGACATCCCATTGGCATGATTGGTGGTCTGTCTGTCAGGGAAATGTTGTTCCTTTTTTTTTGCAGAGTGCAAACTTGCGTGCATGTATAGGATTTTACTTGGAAGGGAGGGGGAGGGGTAGGGCAGGTATAGTTTTAAAGGAGACACAAAAAATCATGGTAACTTCAATGTAATCAATAATGGCAGAACATTTTTTTTTTAAGTTTTAAAAAAATTACTGATATTTGGAGATTTTACTTGGGGATTTCCTGGACAATGTGAAAAATCCTTCATTAGATTGAAGACACCCAGTATTTACATTTTTGCGTACCTACATGTACAATGTACAAATATGTACGCCGTAATTTAAATAATTTAATGTTTACAAAGTTCTGTTTTTCAATGTGAAGTACATGTACCTGTATACTATGTACACTGTGTAAATTCCATCGAGGTTACATGAACATGTTAAAATTGAAGTTTTAAAAATTATTTTCACAGAGTTACATTGTACATACATGTACAGTATACATGTACTGGAAGCCTTGTGTACTTTATGCATAGTAAATAACTGTACATGTTGAATTGTTGTACATGTTGATGAAATACCAACTGTTGATAATTTCTTGTTCGTGACAACTCCCCATCTGCTAATCTCTGGACGAAGTCAAGAGGATCTACAGAAATTGTTGGCATGTGTTACATGTTTTGCACAATTGCACGCGGACATTCCCCCGGACCTGGCATTGCGATTAACGTGTAAATGCACTTTCAGGTTTTAAATTGTCTTCATCGCTGTTGTTTGTTACAGTGTGTTACCTTTTGCCTGCTGTAGTAGATTCTGGTTGGTATTCCAACTGCGTACGCAATGTACTGGAGTACAAAATTTGCCGGTTTTAGACCATTCAGTTTTTATTATGAGCTAATCCTACATGAGAGCACTGCCCGGATTTCATCATCAGCCTACAACCAGTGCCCTTACATCATTAGGGTGCAAGTCATATAATAACACAGGGGTGTGAAATCTCAGCTTTAAAGCTGATTTCAGCTTTTTTTGTGTTGGATTTCAGCTTTTTTTTCAGCTTTTTCCCCAGCTTTTTCCCTCACTTGCTGTGTACAAAAGTATAGGACATTTCCAAAGTTCAGCTTTTTTACACCTTTTTCAGCTGTTTTCAGCTATTTTTATCAGTGGTCACTCACACCCCTGATAACAACTATTAAAAATAATCATACAATTTCTGGAGTGATATCTTTCAGCAACTCACGTCACAGTAACTGACGTAGCAGTTTGTCCACCCATCTTTGGTACATAAGAAAGTAATATTCAATAAAAAAACTCTTGGCATAAAATATGAACCTTTCTGTCTTCCTTACGTGTACACAAATACTCACAATAAAACTAGAATTGTGCATGTAAAAACAAGGTGCCAAAAAGAGTACCTAAACATGTCAAATCTATAATTTTAGCAAAAAATATAATTTCCCTCCTAAAATAATACACCTATTCCATCTCACTGCCACATCACTCAAATGAAAGGTCTTGTTGCCCCCTTTAATTTGATACCACATTTGATGTTGTGGTGTTTGTCATTTTGAAGGTGTCTTAAAATGTTCCACTTTTCAGCCGTGTCCACATTGCATGGGTTTGCCCGTTTGATGACCTTAATAATGTTACAGATAATTATGTTTATTTCCTTCAATTCACAGAACCCCCAAACAGTCCCAAGGATGTTGTGCCTGAAAGACAGGTCGCATTCTACTCACCTTTGCTTCACCTGCTGGCTGCACTTCATCATCGTTCTGTGTCTGACGGTCAGTGCAAGAGGGTTAAACATGGCCCAGGCCCAGGGCACAGGTAATAAACAATGCTTGTACACAGATTTGCGTTGAACTAGGAAAATAGACTGCACCAGGATTCGAACCAGTGCCCCTCCCTGCAGGTTCAAACTCTTTGGAGTGACGTACCGGTACAAGTGCTTTTGCAACTAAGCTTTCCAGCCCGAGGACCGGTTTGTACTTGGCGTGAATACAAAAGCGATTTTGTGACGATTTTGCGAATTCACAAGAGTTGAATACTCGTTTTTTGACTCACCCATAGGTCCACTCCACCCACAGTCACCTTTTGGTTGGGAATGTGAATGGGATCTGTGAATGGTTTCGATGTGGTAAATTTTGCAATTTTAAAATTGGAATTGGAGAAATGACAGAAAAGGGTGATTATGGACAATTGACTTTGAAAATGTTGACTTTTGGTCAAAGAATTTTCTTACATAATCCATCCCCCCCATCCCCCCCCCCCCCCCCCCCCCCGGCAAAAGTTGGACATTTTAGAAAAACAGGTTTCCAAACAATTTTTACCTTTCAAATCATAAAGTCCCGTCCCCAAAATAAGGGTACAAATTATTAGAAGTTACCCTTAAACTTCCGAAATCAATCAAAATCCATCCCTCAGTTTGGTGGATTTTGGGGGACTTGGGCCTGGAGGCCTAAAGCAAAGCATGCATTGGAAGCAGTGTGATTGATGGATTTTGGCGGACTTGGTCCAGTAAAAGACAGTAGGGAGTAAGGTATAACTTACAAATGTAGTATACAACTCCAAAATGTCAGTCATATGCATACTCGTACACATTTCACTTAAAAAAAAAACCCAAAAAACTGGAAACTATCGAGCATTGAAAGTTTGAAACTAGTTCGACAGGTCCCATGGAAACTAGTTTCACTAGTCCCATTTGGCCTTTTAAATGATGACAGAGGTTATACAAATATGTTGAGAATATGTTGAGAATGCCGGTAATTGCGCAACTAACTTGTAATGTGAAACGTTCCCCTTATCAGATCAATTGCTGTAACTGGCGATGCATTACAGTGGGAAAATCCCTGGCATTGGCAATTTCCTTTATAGGTTTGCAATTTAGATTTGGGCTGTTACTCAGTCTTGCATGCAAAATTGCAAAACAAACCAAGACGGAATGCTTTTTAGACAGCTGTTTCTGTCTTAAGAAAGTGCTTCGCGTGATCCATGAAATGATTTAGTAAAGGAATCTATTTTCTCATAAGCAGATGTGCGTTAACTGTTGCCATAACTCCAGGTACCATCATGTCATGCGGAACAAAATTGCCCTCCCCCCCCCCAGCCTCCCTAAAAAAAACCAAACCTATGGCGTAAGGCTTTGATTGTAAATATAATACAGCGTGTGTCAATAAAAATGAAGCAGTCAATCCCTAACCCTGCTCAATCCAACAGGATCCAACTATTTTACTTTCCGGTCGGGTCATGTTGGATGGAGCAGTAAATCCTTTGTAAACATGTATTTCTGTTGAAATCTGTTGGATTCAGCGGGCAACTGAAAACATTCAGAGCCGGAGTCTGTTGGGTAAGGTACTGGTGAATATCCAGTGGGAAACAGAAAAGTAAGGCACAGTCCGGATTCTGTTGGATTGAGCAGGCCAGTCACTTTATGTTATCAGCTACCCAACAACTTGGCAAGTTGGATTGTGTGGGACTGTGTTGGGTTGGATTGAGCAGGAAACTCATATGAGTACATGTAAACCATCGGACTCTGTGAGATTTAGCAGGGTACCGGTAGTCTTGGGGAACTACTAGGAGGTTAGGGTTAAATATTAAAAATACTAGCACTCTCTAATTGAAAAACTGAAATCTATAGAGTTTGAAGGTAGTACGTACTCTACAAAATGGTTTTTATCCCATCTTTTTTGGACATCCCAGTCCAGAGATACATATAATTTTTCAGACAATTTTGTTGATGGATAGAACTCTTCCGTGTCTTCAGGCTGAAAGATATATCTCCTTTGAGTCACACAAACTGAATGGAGCACATTGTATTGTGTACCGGTACATGCCACCTCTACCGGTAGTTGGGTACACTTATGCGTACAAATAACATGAATAACTGCCAATTTTGGAATTCATCTCCTGAATACACAAACCAAGTTTTCAGGTTTTTTTTCTATCCTACCGTAAATAGGCCTGGGGTGTGAAATCTCAGCTATAACTGATTTCAGCTTTTTGTTTGTTTTGGATTTCAGCTTTTTTTCCTCACTTGCTGTGTACAAAAGTATAGGAGATTTCCAAAGTTCAGCTTTGTTTACACCTTTTCCAGCTGTTTTCAGCGTTTTTTTCAGTGGTCACTCATACCCCTGTAGGCTTTTTAGTTTGGTTCATAAAATCAGGCAAAGTGTGGTCAAGGAAATGTACCGGTACACATACCGTACAGCACATGTACAGTGTACATGTAAGTGAAATCACTGTTCGCCTAGATCATGGAGGAATAAATCATCCATGCCGGAAGAATAAATCCTCCATGCCTAGATGCACATTTCTAGCTGACCAGTGATAAAGTTCAAGTTTCATTGACAAAATGATCTGGTGTTTTGGAATGTGCCAGTTAAATGATACCGGTAGATTGCAGGCTGCTTCTTTGCCGGATGATTTGTGGTTGTGTACAGCCTATTGTACAGTAGGCCTATAGGGTTTGTAAAGATTGTGTCACAAACTTCTATACCTTGTGGTATAACTTTACAGATGAATGCGTTTGGATTTTTCTTTTCATCCAGATTAATGTGTACACATGTAGTACCAGTACATGTACATACAATGTACAACAATGTATGCCCACCCAGATTGTTCATTGAATAGCCCATAACAAATGGTACCTCATATACGGTGTAACGTACCTTGGGTATCGTTATCAAACTGATAGTGGAACCATACATTACATGTACATGTAGGTTAAACCAAGTGTTAGAAAAGTTTTATGCAGATCACATCGCTGTACCCCACAAACGTGTAGAAACATGTACACATGATCTGTCATATTTGTGCAATAATCTACATATGTATACATGTACATGTACATGTATAAAATTTACACATACCGGTACCATGAACTTGTAAGATGCACATGTACACAGTGTGTATGTATACGTGTACATGTACATCATGTACATAATGTACATGGTAAGTAAACTGTACAAAATTGTACAATGTACATGTACAAATGTACACGTCTTCATTAACTTATTCAGTGTGCATACATGTACATTGTACAAATGTATACATTTACAATGTACATGTATTCTGACATTGTATGCTAAATTTCAACTTGTGTGATCTGTGTCATACATGCCATATGTTGATGTAGCAGTTGAACTTTGAGATCAAAGTTTAAGTGGTACACAAATGTATCTATTTGTGCACCACATTTATAAGAAAGTTCAGTGACATTCCCTGCACATGTATTGGTATACCTCTATGATTATTACCTGAATTAAAAGTGTGTACATGTACATGTATTGTACATACATGAATACACAAAAAGACAGCCAAGTGGCATGCTTATGTCCTACAATTTGTATGACTTCACCCACTGCGTGCAAGAGCCAGACCCAGAGGTCAGACCACAAAGAGAAACCTGTCACTAGAAATCTTCAAGTCAAGAGCGTCAGCATCCCACTGCTTTGGTGCCAGCGAGTAAAAGCACTGACTGAGGATCCCAGAAACACATGTAAAAATAATTTGGCCTAATCTGATGAAATCGATTACTTCCTTGTGAACTTGTGGTTGCACTCATGGGGAGTTTCCCCTCTTTGTGGCCTGCCTTTGTAATGTCAACTTGATGAGAGCTATGAGAGGGTGACGTTGTTGCAATGACACACTCAACAACGACACACGTACATGTAGGCCTTCAGTCAAGGCATTTCCTGTTTAAAGTATTTGGCCGTGATGGTCTTTTCAAAATACAATGTGTGTTTATTTTTGGAAACTTTGTTTGCGTACACATGTATCAGGGTGATGCATTGGTCATGTGCGTTGTTTGCATGATATGAGCATTTTGAAATTGCCCCTACCAAACAGGTACATTTCTTGACGGGCCCTGCACTAGTTCTATAAATTTAGAGTCCGAAGTGTGACATTTTGTCTGTCCCTGTGTTTAGTTGGTACTTTGTAAAGTATCATTAACAATGACTTCAAACAATTTTTTATTTGTTTGTTGGGTACCGGTACATGTAGGTACTATTTGGGTCGTTTCACCGGGTTGGGAAGCAGTGCATGTTACATCCATATATTTGATTATATTATTAAAAGTATCAATGCATTCTAAACAATTGCTCAACATAATATTTGTCTTAGGGTGTTTCAATACTTGAGAAAGTTTGAAATCATTTGAAAGTACTTTGACAGAAATATGAGCAAAAATGTATTAATTCGAATGTAACATTGACACCGTGTCAATGATACATCCAAATATTCTTTTTTTTGCCATTTTTTACACGTATGTAAAATATTACCCAAACTGACATTGCATATTTACAACTGGACACCTAAGCATCAAGAAAAGCTTTTGTTTTGGTATAGTCAGGGTTCAAATATAGCAGAAACAATACCTCAAGTGTGGATGTAACTGTGTAAAAATTACTCAATGGAAGTGTGACATTTGGGTTTTACACCGTGTAAATGTTGCGTCCACACAACCAAGCTATCATTTCTGCTCCATTTGATACCTGACTACCAGTACCATAACAAAAGCTTTTTTTATTGTGTTGCATGTATAGTAAGAAGTACGCAAAGTGAATTTGGGTAGTGTTTGGCAGAAATAAAAAAAACAGGTGCAAATGTCATGTTTGGACGTAACACTGACACGGTGTCAATGTTGCGTCCAAAATGACATTTTTTGCTCATAGTTTCGGCAAAATACATTGAAATGATTTCAAACTTTCTGCAGTAGTGAAACACCCAACAACAAGGCTAGCAAGCTAGCAAGGCATTCATGCTTTTCTTAATATGGTCATATGTCACACTTTGATCCCCAACCTGGTGGAATAACCCATTTACCGGTACAATCACTCTTGGAGGACGACTGCATTAAGTGCATCAGAATTTTTCACCCTGTCCCTGTCAGCGTTACAAAATGTACACTGCATCAGACGTCTACCGGTATGATTTCATAATTCTGATGCACTTAATGCAGTCGTCCTCCAAGAGTGATTGTACCGGTAAATGGGTCATTCCACCAGGTTGGGGAACAAAGTGTGACATATGACCATATTAAGAAAAGCATGACGTCTGATGCAGTGTACATTTTGTAACACTGACAGGGACAGGGTGAAAAATGTGGGCCTTATAGAATGACCCACATGTGCTTGTACCTGTATACATGTTTTATTTTATTAGAAGACTTGTACACATGTATACCCCGGTACATGTACATGTACATTGTATGCTTAACCACTTCGTGTCAGAGGACGTGATAACACGCACTGGCTGTTTTTATATACAGGCACGGCTGACGGGTTAGGACGTCAAGATTGCCTCGACTTGCCTCCGGGTGACGTCTAAACACGCTTATCCCGCTTGCCTTTTGTACACACGCATTTTGTAAAATTAATACTCCAGTGCACATCACAGAGTATTGAAACATGAGATTTCGGCAAGAAATATCGTGCAAATACTACTGAAATTACTGTTGCGAATCAGTATTTGTGGCGTTTGGCTGTACATATCAGAAGTCGGCTGGAACAGTTGCCTTTTGCGAAAATGGAAAGTTGTGGCTAAACTAATCCCATCGGGAAGTGGTTAAAAAAAATTTTTTTGTGCAAAATTCCATTCCTTGAAATATCACACATGCTTACTATGCTCTTCGTTTTCTCATAAATATTTCATGCATAAATGAATCATCAAAGCTTATTTGGGCAGGCTTACTAATGCTAGCCGAAAACTGTGACTTTGAAAATTCAAAGTCACGAAAAACTTTATGCAACGTACTTTATTTGTGATGTAATGTACATTGTACACATCATTGAAATTGTGGCTTAAATACATGTAAATGGGTCATTCCAGCGGGTTGGGGGACAATGTGTGACATATGACCATATTAAGAAAAGCATGAATGCCTTGCTAGCAGTTGCTCTACATAATATTTGTTGTTGGGTGTTTCACTACTGCAGAAAGTTTGAAATCATTTCAATGTATTTTGCCAAAAATATGAGCAAAAAATGTCATCTTGGACATAACATTAACACCGTGCCGGTGTTACGTCCAAATATGACATTTGTACCTTTTTTTTAAATTTCTGTCAAACATTACCCAAATTCACTTTGCGTACTTATCACTTTACATGCAACACAACAAGAAAAGCTTTTGTTATGGTAGTCATACAAATGGAGCAGAAATGATAGCTTGGTTGTGTGGACGTAACATTTACACCGTGTAAAACCCAAATGTCACACTTCCATTGAGTGATTTTTACACCCTTACATCCACACTTGAGGTATTGTTTCTGCTATATTTGAACCCTGACTATACCAAAACAAAAGCTTTTCTTGGTGCTTAGGTGTCCAGTTGTAAATACGCAATGTCAGTTTGGGTAATACGGTATTTTACATACGTGTAAAAAATGGCAAAAAAAGAATATTTGGATGTAACATTGACGCGGTGTCAATGTTACGTCCGAATTAATACATTATTGCTCATATTTTTGTCAAAGTACTTTCAAATGATTTCAAACTTTCTCAAGTATTGAAACACCCTAAGACAAACTATATTATGTTGAGCAATTGTTTAGAATGCATTGATACTTTAAATAATATAACCAAATATATGGATGTAACATGCACTGCTTCCCAACCCGGTGGAATGACCCAAATACCGTACGCTACATGTGCTGTATACATGTACGCAGGCCCAATACGAGTATACCGTATACATGTACATGTACACGTGCACGTACATGTACATGTACATACTGGTAGATGTAATTTGTGACCACAACATTTGGCCTGCTTTGTGAAATGAGTCATATTTCACAGGCCATTGGTTGTACAGTATGTAAATTGTGAATGAGCAGAAAAGGAATTGAAAAAATGGACAAGTCATCAACTTGAAGTCAAAGTCAAGTACACATGTGCATTGGGTTAGGATTATTTTTCTCCGTCATTGACAGCCCTGTGGAACTTCTAAAGCTACCGTTCATTCTTTCTGCAACATGCTGAAATTAAAAAAAGAAAGAAAAAACCAATTTACTAGAGTTCATAATTTAAGTTTATTAAAACAGGTGCAGATCCTACAAGTCATTTGTTTTTTGGCTTGTATGCATAGTGGAAAAGCCATTGTTTGTGTTCTGATTTCTTTTCTCCTTTTTCTTTTTGTACTTCTATCTCAAATCCCATTGACTTCATACACATTTTTTGTTGTTGTATTTTTGTTCATTCAATATCCAGTGGAGATCTTTCCCGTGGAGCCCACCATTCTGGCCGGCACCGACTTCAACCTGACGTGCACCATAGGTCAGTCCAGCTCCGTTTTGGCCCAGGACATCAAATGGAAGCGAGGCGGAGAGACGCTTCCTGCCGAGTTGTATAGCGCCCTCGACGACAAGACGTCACAGTTGCAGGTTCGGAAGGCGGAGTTTCAGGACAGCGGCCTCTACGCCTGTGTGTCGGAAAAATCAACGCTTGATGGTGGTAACGAAACACAAGTGTATGTCGGAGGTGTGTAAGGAATTGTTGATCTGTTTTTCTGTTTTATTTTGTCTTTATTAACCCTAACCTCCCTGAATCTTTCAAAATCCTCTTTGCCAAAGTGGAGGAATTTGGAGGATTGAGGTTACTTGGCAAAAGTGCGTTACTGATTTCGCAGGATGCACTTTGTCAAGGTCTTGGGCCGGACCTTGTGTTCTTTGTGCTCAGCCATGCATAAATATAGGCCTGGATTATGCTTGAAATCCTCCGTACTGCTCCAGGATGTCACTGGCCAAGCCTCAACATTTTGACAGTCACTGCCGCAGGATTTTGCAGGATTCAGGCAGTGGTCACCCCTCCACGGACCATATTCAAGAAATAATGGAGGAATATGCAGGATTGAGGCCATATGATATTTTTCCATGAGGTCAATTGGAGAATTTTACAGGATTGAGGATGTATACTGGCAAAATTGGCCTAGCGTCTAGGGAGTTAGGGTTAATAGTGCATCCTGAGAGTGTTTGGTAACTTTTTTGAAAACTTTTTTTTATCTGTGGCTTCTGGTGGTCACAGAGTATGTTCACTCTGTAAATCCCTGTGATTGGTAGAAACATCAAGGGGCTGCGCTTAGCCCTAACCCCCTAGGCCTTTTTTGCTAGGAACAACCTTCAATCCTCTAAAATTTTGCACTTATGTTCAAATGAAGGGTACCCAGTGCCTTAAAAGTGGTGGATGCCAGCAGTCAATTTCGCGAAACAGTGCGGAACTTATGCTGTGCGTAGGATTTATGCAACAAAGTTTGTTGCACAGCTGCACAGTAAACTTACGATCGATTTCACGAAACATTGCGTAGCTGTGCAACATTTAAAATGATTCAAACATCTGGGACAAGGCAAGTAAAAACTCTTCGTGATGGTTGTTTCTGTATGATAGCTGTTCGGTCACAAAACAGTGGTTGAACTACCTCCACCCACCATTTTGAATATGCTTTTTTTCCAGCTACACTAAATACCAGAGGTACATGTAAAATAGCAGTTATTTACTTCAAATACAAAGCTGTGGGTTTCTTATATCAACCTTAATAAGTTGAGCAATGACAGGCTCCACGACGATTCATGAAGAGTCAGTCAAAAAGTCCATCTATAACTGTAAGCCACCTAAAATGATTGCGTAAGTTACACCATAACGTGTTGCATAAGTCGCCGACTTGCACACTGAAAAACTTTCACATACATTTGAGGAAAAACACACCCCAAAAAAACTTGAGACTACAGGAAAACGGTGCATACTGTGGTAAGAAAAAAGTTCCCTTTTTGAGAAGTACAGGAAAACGGTGCATTGTGGTACTGTGGTAAGAAAAAAAGTTCCCCTTTTTTTTTGAAATACAGGCAAACGGTGCGTTCTATGGTAAGAAAACTGTTTCCTTTTTGAGAAATACAGGAAAAATGGTGCATACATTGTACTGTGGTAAGAAAAAGTTCCCTTTTACCGCGGTCTCAGCCGGCTGGCTTAACTAGTCTGATTTTAGCTGGCTGTCGCTCATCTATAAGCCAGCTAAGAGTAATGATTCACGAACAAACGATCCATGGTACAGAGCAGGCTGCAGAACAGTGTATACGGTGGCACGCTTTATAAATTATTTGGGTCATTCCACCGGGTTGGGAAGCAGTGCATGTTACATCCATATATTTGGTTCTACTATTAAAAGTATCAATGCATTCTAAACAAGTGCTCAACATAATATTTGTCTTAAGGTGTTTCAATACTTGAGAAAGTTTGAAATCATTTGAAAGTACTTTGACAAAAATATGAGCAAAAATGTATTAATTCGGATGTAACATTGACACCGTGTCAATGTAACATCCAAATATTCTTTTTTTTGGCCATTTTTTACACGTATGTAAAATATTACCCAATCTGACATTGCATATTACAACTGGACACCTAAGCACCAAGAAAAGCTTTTGTTTGGGTATAGTCAGGGTTCAAATATAGCAGAAACAATACCTCAAATGTGGATGTAACGGTGTAAAAATCACTCAATGGAAGTGTGACATTGGGTTTTACACCGTGTCAATGTTACATCCACACAACCAAGCTATCATTTCTGCTCCATTTGATACCTGACTACCGTAACAAAAGCTTTTTTTATTGTGTTGCATGTATAGCAAGAAGTACGCAAAGTGAATTTGGGTGATGTTTCGCAGAAATTTTTAAAAAAAGGTAGAAATGTCACATTTGGACGTAACACTGAGACGGTGTCAATGTTACATCCAAAATGACATTTTTTGCTCATATTTTTGGCAAAATACATTGAAATGATTTCAAACTTTCTGCATTCGTGAAACACCCAACAACAAATATTATGTAGAGCAACTGCTAGCAAGGCATTCATGCTTTTCTTAATATGGTCATATGTCACACATTGTTCCCGAACCCGGTGGAATGACCCATATCCGTAGCATCTGTCCGTGCATGCAAAATTGCGAGAGTATTGTGTAAACTGTAATTGCAACTACAAAAGAGGCTCCAAGCAAACAATGCCTTCCAGACTTTGCGGAGGCTGTAAAGCTGGCTGTGATCGATAGCTATACAAGTCATCAATAACTATCAACTGAAAAGCCATTCTAGGGACAATTATGTACATGTATGTACATTGTATTTCAAGGGACAGATACACGTACATGTACATGTATGCATTTTAACACGTGTATTATGAATAAAAGAAAATCCAACTATGGGCTCCGTGCGCCAACGAAAGAGGGCGCCCTTTTACCTAGCAACGGCGTCCCATGGGCGGGACATTTAGCTGGTTGACGCGCAACGTTCCTTGTGTGTGCCGCAGCCGAACGTACACCAGGGGATTTGCACAATGTACACGCAGTGGTACGGCCGCTCGTCGCAGGAAAATTGCAGTCAGGCAAGATGACGTCGGTCGGTCACCCCCAACTATGCTCTCTTTGCCGGTGAAGGGGTACTTGTGAATGGAGCTGATAGACCGTTTAAAACCAGTCCGGCCCAGCCCAGGCTAACTTATTTAATAAGACTATCTTGAACTACATTTGACAGACTGCATCATTGCAATGGTCTAACGTACATGTACCGTTATAGACCGACTGACAGCCGTGAGCTTTAAGACTGGATCAAAGACAGCTTTAAGACTGGTTATTGCAGTTCGTCCCAGGTGCCAATGCAGCTTATCACATAATTTTTCTTGTATGTACGGTAGCACAAAAATGTAATTCCTTAGCAATGACAGGTCACCGGCCAAAAAGTCCATTGATGCATTGTATTGTTTCTGACTGGTTCCCAAGCTGTTAAGGAACAAATGTACATATTTAACTTCACTTTTTTTAATGCAGCCATTGCTAACACAAATCAAAGATGCAATTGATCAATAATAACAGGCGTACCACGAATAACTGTGGACACCTCCATTGGTCTACAGAGTTTCATAATTACAGCATGTCTACACTCATGTGATTAGTTTACAGGAACACAGCAAACGAAACAGCAACTCCCACAATCGGTAACAATAAAAGATCAATACCCTTGAAATGGATTCAGGTTTTGCACGCAAACTTCACGCACGGCCGCGCTTACCGCAAAGAGGCGGGGAATGTGGTTTTCATGCCTGGAGGCAGGATGGCATATGCAGTGTTTGTATGCGTGCTGTTTTGTGTGTCAAGTATACTTGGGGTCAATTCATTTTTGACTTTAAAGTGTCCTGAACCCCACATGTACGGTATTGTACTTGCACACGTATACAATAGTTATGTTTTAACCTCCTGCTTTCTGAACAGTCACAGACAGTAAAAATAAAATCAAGCCTCTTCCCCTGCCATGCCTTTTACACAGGCTAGTCACCAACAGTCATGACAGTCAGATCATATTTCAAGCAAGCACTCTGATTAGTCAAATTCAGTCAGCAGACAAAAGCAGGCAAGAAGTAGGTACAGCCGGCTTATCAATCACCTACAGTCAAAGCAAAGCTGTATCAAGTTACATAAACAGTCACAGCCATTCAATCCTGCTTTATGTGCAGTTGGCCGGGAGCTGTTAACTATTAAACACAGTCACCTGATTTTGACTGAAAGAACAACCTTGCGCAGAATGTACCGGTATGTTTGCTATAGGAGGGTTAATGGGAAGTAGCCAATCAGGCAACACCAAGATTAAAAAAAAAGATGGCTCCTTTGCATTATTGCAGTTTTTCTTACTCGCCCTGTATACAACCCCAACCTTGCTGGGTCCATGTACATGAAAACATTTCTAAAACACTTCAATTTAATAAAAAACTTAACTTCTTTCGTCGCCCATCGTAACAACTTTTTTCCTTTCTTTCCTAGTCTCAACTTCTGCCCAGTCAGGCGTCCATTATTCTTTGAAACCAACATTTCTTTATGCGAGTGCTTTGGTGACTCAACTAGAACCTGGTGCAGAGAGTTTTATTTTTGGCACAATGGCCGTTGGTATCGTTCGCGTAGCAAGCCCAGCTGCTGGGAAAAAAGTCTTTTTAATCAAGTTAGGCCATTGTGTAACTAAGCCCCCAGGTACAAAAAAAAAAAAACGAAAAAAAAAGATGGAAAATGTATGCTTTGCACGAATAGTGAGCCAGCTCCATTATCTTGAAAATAGACCGAGCAGTGTACTCTGAGCCTATCGCACCAGGAAGTACAAGCATCTGCATCAGATTGGAGAGTGAACAGGCGTTACCAGGCAGCAAAGAACAAGGGATGTTGACAACTTGGTTTTCCTGTCGGTTACGCTATATAGTTGTTCCTTTGCCCCTTTTCAAGTTGTGCTAAATGGCTTTTTTTGTATTGCAGAAAGTCCCTCCTTTGGTTGATTTTTCAAAAGACTGCAGTTTTCTGACACCCTCTAACATTTTACGCCCAGTTGAACTCACACAAATACTCCGTACATGTACAAATACATATAAGTTGCCTGATGTACATGTACCCTGGGAATGGTCTGCAGAGAACCTCTTTCGGGGTGCAGGCCAGTAAATACTGGAAGCCCCAAATTTG